GGGGGGGAAGGAGGGAGGAGGGAGAATAGTGAATTAGATTGTTCAAGTTACAAGAGGCTGATAAGAACAATTTGAATCTCTATGGGTGCGTCTAGACTGGCATGATTTTGCTTTTGCGCAAAAACTTGCCAGCTGTCTACACTGGCCGCTTGAATTTGTGCAAGAGCACTGACGTTCTAATGTAAGAATTCAGTGCTTCTTGAGCAAATACTTTGATGCTCCCACTCAGGGATAAGCCCTCTTGCGCAAGAATACTTGCACAAGAGGGCCAGTGTAGACAGGCACCTTAATTTTTTGCGCAAGAAAGCCCGATGGCTAAAATGGCCATTGGGGCTTTCTTGTGCAAAAGCGCGTCTATACTGGGCACGGGTGCTTTTGTGCAAAAGCACTTTTTGCGCCAAAGCATCCGTGCCAATCTAGATGCTCTTTTGTGGAAATACTTTTAACGGAAAAGTTTTTCCGTTAAAAGTATTTCCACAAATCATGCCAGTCTAGATGCAGCCTATAAGTACCCATTGTTAGGTTGGTTAAGTCATTAGGATGCAGAAGGCAGTGTGCGAGCCAGCTAATATCTTTATTCATTCCTTTCTGATGAGAATCACACTTGTAAATGAAGTTATATTCCAACTGTTCCCTATGTATTTGGCTTGTGGAATTGGCCTGAAACAACCCGGTGACTTTGAGATCCATTAATGAGTGCCCAGACAGGTTGAAGTGTTCTCCAATAGGTTTCTGTGTTGCCTTTTCAGATATCTGATTTGTGTCCATTAATTCTCTCACAGAGTAGGGCTACTCAACTTTGGAAGCCGTGGAGACCACAATGATATTCACAGCACATGTTGAGGGCCGCAACTTAAGTGTGGCTGCATATACATGCAAATAGTTTCTTTCACACTGATGGGCATGAATACAAAGATTAAGGCAGGGGGTCTCAAACTTGTGATACTGCGACCCCCCTCTCAGTTGCTCACAACCTCCCTCTCCATTGCTGCAACCACCCTCTTAGTGGCTCGCGACCCCCCTCTAAGTTGTTCACAACCCCCCACGGGGTTGAGAGCCACAGTCTGAGAAACACTGGATTAAGGCAAAACTACACAACACGCAGGCCCTATTTAAGTCAGTTCTGCTGATATTAATAAAAGGCAATATTTACCTGATTTCCACTCATATGACAGCACTTTTAATGAACAATGACAGTCCAGGAATTTAACTACTAAAACCCATACAAACAAAAGACTATTATATTGACTACTTTTTTATTTTGGCTCCCACCTGCAGGCCACATATTGAGCCCCGCATAAACCCAAACTGCACCGTGGGCTGCATGTGACCCGCAGGCTGCATGTTGAGTAGCCCTGCCATAGAGACTGTCCAGTCTGGCCAATATACATGGCAGTGGGGTATTGCTGGCATAGATCACATTGGTGGATACGCAGTTAAATGAGCCCCTGATGTAGTGGCTGAGGTGGTCAGATCCAGTGATGAAATCACTATGTGGATGTTTGGGACGGAGTTGGCACCAGGGCTGATGGGAGGGGTTGATTCCTAGAGGGTTATGATTGAAGTGTGTTGTGTGGTTACTGTAAAGAATTTGTTTGAGGTTAGGGGGTTGTCTGTAGGCAAAGATTGTCCTTCTCCCCAAGGCCTGTGAAAGTGATGGGTCATTTTCCAGAATAGGTTGTAGACTGTTGATACTGTGTTGGAGGGGTTTAAGTTGTGGGCTATAGGTGATGACGAGAGGGAATTCTTTTGTTTTCTCTTCTTGGCGTGTCTTGAAGTAGTTCATGTCTGGGTACTCTTCTGGCTCTGTTGATCTGTTTTTTCACTTCTCCAGGTGGGTATTTTAGTTTTAAGAATGCGGTATATAGATCCTGTAGGTGTTTGTCTCTGTCTGTGGGATTGGAAAAGAATTGGTTGTATCTTAAGGCTTGGCTGTAAACAATAAATTGAAAAATGTGTCTGGGATGGAAGCTAGAGGCATGAAGGTAAGTGTAGCAATTGGAAGATTTACGGTATATGGTAGTGAAAATGTGTCCATCATGTAATTGTACTGTAGTGTCAAGGAACTGGATATCTTGTGTGGACTGATCCAGGCTGAAGTTGATGGTGGCATAAAATTGTTGAAATCCCTGTGAAATTCTTCAATGGTCTCTTTTCCCTGGGTCCATATGATGAGGATGTCATCAATGTAGCGTAAGTAGAGTAAGGATGCTAGGGGGAAGAGAGCTGAGGAAATACTGTTCAAGGTCAGCCATAAAGATGCTGGCATATTGTGGGGCCATGCAAGTGCCCATGGCTTGCCACTGACTTGAAGATACAAATTGTATACGAATCGGAAGTAGTCGTAGGTGAGGACAAAATCGCAGAGCTCTGTAACCAGGTGTGCAGGTGTATCATCACGGATGGTGTTCCTCATAGCCTGAAATTCGTCTTCATGTAGACCATTGGTGTAAAGAGCTTCTACGTCCATGGAGACCAGGATGCTGTTTTCAGGCTTAATCTGTTAAATAATTTAAATTACACCATTCTCCCCAGCTGCAGCACTAGCAAAATGGCTCAGGTGTAATTATTTAATTAACGGTGAGTTTCCATTAGCAACGGGTAGTCTGTGGAAAGGTTTGAAGAGGGCAGGGCCTCAAGAAAGAGGTGGGGTCTTGGGGAAGGGATGGGGTAGATTCTGCCATGCTGTGACATTTAAAAAGTGATCTTGAGTGTAAAAAGGTTGGAGATCACTGTGCTAGAAGTCCTATGTCCCATATTATATAGGAAGCCAGATTACATGATCACAATGGCCCATTCTGGGCTGCGAATCTAAGAAAAATGTACCTTTTCTGTAAAAAGATTGTTTCAATTAATTGGTGTTTTTCCAGTCACACTTTTAGTTGAAATTCCAGGCTGGATCTTGTACTAGACTTTTTTTTTTTAAAAAAATATCCTCAAATGTTATACCTAGTCTACTCTGGAACATTTTTGTGACAGGTCCATGGCTCTTAGAAAGTTATTCTATTGCCTAGCTAACTTTACTGTTAGAAACATGACTATCAATATTTAGAAAACAAATGTAGTTTTGTAAATTTTTTAGAATTAGAATCTCTCACACTGGGGTCCTCCTCGGAGTACATAAGGGAACTTCTGGGGGGGCTGCAGGCCCTGCTGATCATTTCCTCTCCCTCTCTCCAGGGGCTAAGACAGGCCCCATACCTGCCCTGGTTCTGCATGGCTCCTGGAAGTGGCCACAAGGCATCTGAAAGCCCTACGTGCATGGCTGGCCAAGGAGGCTTTGCATGCTGCTCCCGCCCAAGTGCCGGCTTCTCAGCTTCCAATGGTTGGGAACCGTGACCAATGGGAGTTGTGGGCCAAGGGCAGTGTGAAGAGCCTCCCTGGCTGCCCATTCACCAAGGAGATACAGGGACTTGGTGGCTACTTCCTGGGAGCAGCAGTAGATGCTACTGGATCCCTGCACTCCGAACCTTCTCCTGTACCTCAACCCCTGTCCTAGCCCAAAGTGCCTTCCAGTACCCAAACTCCCTTCTGGCATCCCTCAACATCCCAACCCCTTTCCCTAGTCTGGAACTCCTCCTACATTCCCACATCTTTGGCTCCATTCCAGAGCCCACACCTTCATCCAAAGCCTTCACCTCAAACCTCTAATCCTTTTTGTGTAAGTGAGCTAGGATGAAGGATAGTGACAGAGGGAAGGGAAATAGAGCAAGTGGGGAGTGGGAACTCAGTGAAGGGGTGGATCCAGAAGTCCCTCAAATTTTAAAAATAATTGGGGTCCTTGGGTTACTAAAGTTTGAGAACAGCTGTTTTAGAACACTCAAATATTGTATCTGATCAATGTGTATCTTTACTTAAGCCTAAAACATAGATTCAAGTAGCACAATAATACAGGTTAAAGATTCAGTTTAAGTATGGATACATATCTATAACGAGTTTTTTTTGTTATTATAATCAGCAAGATGACTGCAAGTGGTACATTTTGGTATTCAGATTTATTTGTCCTTCAGTGACTTCCTTATTACTTTTGCTTAGTTTGCAAGTTTTTCCCATTTTCTCTACTGTCAACATAAAGTTCAAATCAGACACTTGAAAATTAAGCCGTGGATCTCCCCTTGGATACATTTTAAAAAAGGTACTCAGAAAAAACGTTATGTATGTTGATAATACTAGGTAAAAAAAGAAGAAAACATTGTGGGAGCAGGACAGTCTGGCAATCAGGGTTCAAAGAACCCAAGTGGAGAAAATAAGATTTAAATTCAAAATCTCATGAAAGGAAACACTTTATTCGCCTTCAGAAGCTTACTTAAAACTATGCTTTTCAGTGACATCTTCAAAAAAACCTTTGAGAACCATGAGGTGCTGGTGTACCTAGATCTATTGCCTAGCATGGTGACCAGCATGTTCTCCCTCCCCTGTCTGTCTGTAGTCTCAGGTATTATAGTTGGATCGTACAATCTTTGGGGCAGGGACAGTCTTCTTGTTCTGTGTATACAGTGCCTAACAAGAAGGATCCCTAAGCATCAAAAAGGATCTTAAGGTGCTACAATAACAATATTACTAGCAACCCGATTTAAAGGGTATTTGCTAATTCAAAAAAAAATTCCTAACCATGTGTGACAGGGTGGAGTAGGCCCTGAGGCTTCCTGCTGGAAGCTTGTGGCCTTGCCACACCCTGTCCTACAAGAAAAGGACAATAGAGAAGTCATCTCAGGATTCTAGAGTGGCTGCAGAGAAAGCGGCCAATCAGGGGCCAGGAAAGCTTACAAAAAGAAGCTGAAGAACAGAGTTGCAATTAGTGTCACTGGAGTCTTCAAGGTGTGCAGATTGTGAGGCTGGATGGCTGAGAAAGGGAAAGCCCTGGAGGCATCATTTTAAGAGGAGAACAAACTAAGAGGGACACTAACAGAGGGTACTGAGATGGGCCCCTGTTAAGAGTGCACTCCAAAAAGGAATGAGTGATTCACACCAGGCTGTGTAACATGGCTGGAGGACTGAATAGCCGAAAAGGCTGTCAAACTGAGGGAATGCAGGCACTCGGTCAGACAGGGGTGCTCACAAGAGGAGAATGCTATTCCATCACACCATGCTACCAGTATCTTAGATTATTAAACTGAATTTTTTTCAAAATCTAGTACCTTTTGCACTTGCAAACATGCTAACAATGGAAAACACTTACCTCCTCCCATTGAATGAATTACAAAAAAACACTGCAGACAGTCGCAGTGTTCTGCAGTCCTCCTCAGCTTTTCCACAATGTGTTCCCGATACTGACAGCCATATAGTTTATGACCTACAGCCCTGGAAATAAGAAAATGAAAACTTCCAGCTTTGCACGTTAATTCTTCCTATTCTAGTTTGTACACATGCCTGCTGAATGGTTCAAAATCTGTACTCAGTATTTTGTTCTCAAAATAAATATAAATTAATACAAGAGCGGCCATACTGGGTCAAAACAAAGGTCCATCTAGCCCAGTATCTTGTCTACTGACAGTGGCCAATGCCAGATGCCCCAGAGGGAGTGAACACAACAGGTAATTATCATGTGATCCCTCTCCTGTCATCCATTTCCAGACAAACGTAAGTTAAGGACACCATTCCTACCCATCCTGGCTAATAGCCACTGATGGACCTAATCTCCATGAATTTATCAAGCTCTTTATTGAACCCTGTTAAAATCCTAGTCTTCACAACATCCTCTGGCAAAGAGGATCACAGGCTGACTGTGTGCTGAGTGAAAAAAACCTTCCTTTTATTTGTTTTAAACTTGCTGCCTATTAATTTAATTTGGTGACCTCTAGTTATTATATTATGGGAACAAGTAAATAATTTTTCCTTATTCACTTTTTCCACATCAATGATGATTTTATAAACCTCTATTAAAACCCGCCCCCTAGTCTCCTCTTTTCTAAGCTGAAAAATCCAAGTCTTTTAAAACTCTCTACATATGGGACTCATTCCAAACCCCTAGTCATTTTTGTTGCCCTTCTCAGAACTTTTTCCAGATGACCTGACCACATTGGTATGCAGTATTCAAGATGTGGGAGTATCCTCTGTCTTATTCTCTATCCCTTTTTTAATGATTTCCAACATTGTTTGCTTTTTTGATTGCCACTGCATACTAAGTGGATGTTTTCAGAGAACTATCCACAATGACTCCGAGATCTGTTAGTTGTAGCTAAATTAGTCCCCATCATATTGCATATATAGTTGGGATTATTTTTTCCGATGTGCATTACTTTACATTTATCAATATTAAATTTCATTTGTCATTTTATTGCCCAATCAGTTGATTGTGAGAGATCTTTTTCAAACTCTTCACAGTCTGCTTTGGTCTTAACTATCCTGAGCAGTTTAGTGGCATCTGCGAATTTTGCCACCTGTTTTCCCCTTTCTCCAGATCATTTACAAATAAATTGAATAGGACTGGTCCCAGGAGAGGCCCTTAGAGGACACCTCTAGTTATCACTCTCCATTCTGAAAACTTATAATTTATTCCTACCCTTTATTTCTTGTCTATTAACCAATTATCAATCCATAAAAGGACCTTCCCTCTTATCCCATGACAACTTACTTTACTTGAGAGCCTTTGGTGAGGGACCTTGTCACAGGCTTTCTGGAAATATAAGTATACACTATATCCACTGGTTCCCCCTTTTCCACATATTTGTTGACACCCTCAAAGAACTCTAGTAGATTAGTAAGTCTTGATTTCCCTTTACAGAAATCATGTTGGTTTTCCCCCAACAAATTATATTCATCTATGTGTCTGACAATTGTATTTACTATAGTTTCAACTAATTTGCCTGGTACTGACTTTAGACTTACTAGTCTATAATTGCCAGGATCACCTCTAAAGCCCTTTTTAAATATTGGTGTCTACCTTCCAGTCATTAGGTACAGAAGCTGATATAAAGGATAGGTTACAAACCACAGTTAGTAGTCCCCCAATTTTATATTTGATTTCTTTCAGAACTCTTGGATAAACACCATCTGATCCCGGTGACTTGTTACTGTTAACGTTTATCAATTTGTTCCAAAACATCCTCTAATGACACCCCAGTCTGGGACAATTTCTCAGATGTGTCACCTAAAAAGAATGGCTCAGGTTTGGGAATCTCCCTAACATACTCAGTTATGAAGACTCAAACAAAGAATTCATTGAGTTTTTCTGCAATGACTTCATCATCTTTGAGTGCTCCTTTAGCATCTCGATCGTTCAAGGGCCCCACTGGATGTTTAGCAGGCTTTCTGCTTCTGATATACAGGCAGTCCCCGGGTTACGTACAAGATAGGGACTGTAGGTTTGTTCTTAAGTTGAATCTGTATGTAAGTCGGAACTGGTTGGATAAACACCATCTGATCCCGGTGACTTGTTACTGTTAACGTTTATCAATTTGTTCCAAAACATCCTCTAATGACACCCCAGTCTGGGACAATTTCTCAGATGTGTCACCTAAAAAGAATGGCTCAGGTTTGGGAATCTCCCTAACATACTCAGTTATGAAGACTCAAACAAAGAATTCATTGAGTTTTTCTGCAATGACTTCATCATCTTTGAGTGCTCCTTTAGCATCTCGATCGTTCAAGGGCCCCACTGGATGTTTAGCAGGCTTTCTGCTTCTGATATACAGGCAGTCCCCGGGTTACGTACAAGATAGGGACTGTAGGTTTGTTCTTAAGTTGAATCTGTATGTAAGTCGGAACTGGTACATATTGTAGGGGAAACTCTAGCCAAACATTTCTCCAGAGCTCAGTTTTATTCTCCCACACCTCACTTCCCTCAGTCCTTTATCCTCAAGCTGAGGTGTCTGCTGAGAAAAGCAGCTCCGCGTCTCCCTGGTCTGCTGGGGGGGCGCTAGCTTTGCGTCTCCCTGGTATGCTGGGGGGAAGCAGCTAGTGCGGGGTTGCCTCACCCCGTTTGTAAGTAGGGATCCGATGTAAGTCGGATCCATGTAACCCGGGGACTGCCTGTACTTGGAAAACATTTTGCTATTACTTTGAGTTTTTGGCTAGCTTTTCTTCAAACTCTCGTTTGGCCTTTCTTATTATATTTTTACACTTAATTTGACAAAGTTTATGCTTAATTAATTAATAATGGAGATTGACTATCTCCTAGAACTGGAAGGGACCTTGAAAGGTCATCGAGTCCAGTCCCCTCCCTTCACAGCAGGACCAAGTACCACCCCTGATGAATTATTGCCCCAAATGGCCTCCACAAGGATTGAATTCACAACGCTGGGTTTAGCAGGCCAATGCTCAAACCACTGAGCTATCCCTCCCCCCAATGCTCCTTTCTATTTTCCTCACTAGGATTTGACTTCTACTTTTTAAAATATGTCTTTTTCATCTCTTACTGCTTCTTTTACTTGGTTGTTAAGCTATGGTGGCACTTTTTTGGTTCTCTTACTGTATTTTTAAATTCGGGATATACATTTAAGTTTGGCCTCTATTATGGTGTCTTTGAAAAGTTCCCATGATGCTTACAGGGATTTTACGTTTCTCACTGTGCCTTTTAATTTCTGTTTAACGAATCTCCTCATTTTTTGTGCAGTTCCCCTTTCTGAAATTATAGTGTTGGGCTGCTGAGGTATTTTCCCCCACTAAGAAGGGATGTTAAATGTTATTACATTATGGTCACTACTTCTAAGCAGTCCAGTTATATTTACCTCTTGGGCCAGATCCTGCACTCCACTTAGAACTTAATCAAGAATTGCCTCTCCCCTTGTGCATTCCAGAACCAACTGCTCCAAGAAGCAGTCATTTAAGGTATCAAGAAATTGTTATTTCTGCATCCTGTCCTGTGGTGACACGTACCCAGTCAAAATGGGTATAGTTGAAATCACCCACTATTATTTAATTTTTTATTTTGATAGTCTCTCTAATCTCCCTTAGCATTTCATAGTCACTACCATTGCCCTGATCAGGTGGGCAATAAATGTATCCCTGCTGATAAATTCTCATTATTAGAGCATGGAATTGCTATTCACAGAGATTCCGTGAATATTTTGGCTCATTTAATATTTTTACTTCATTTGACTCTATATTTTCTTTCACGTATAGTGCCACTCCCCCACTTGCACAACCTGTTCACCTGTGATATTGGCAACTGGAATGTTGTACAAAATTATGATAGAGCATAACAGAAGTACTGCTTACTTTTTTAAACTCACAAATAGGAAGAAAGGGACTATTTTTCCTTCAATCTTACGATCAGTGAAAATTAGACATCCCCATTGAGGGGGAAAGGCTACCTTCACACTATTTAGTATGCGCCTGTTAGTCTTCATTTGTTTTTAATATGGAAACCCTGAATACTGGAGTTTATAATTACAACCATTATAAATGGTAATACTTAGGTCTTCTCCAGTACCACTTCCTGATAAATAACTAACACTACTGTGTTAAGAAACTCAATATTATGGAATTCTCAACTGGTATGTTACTCCCTAGTTTGGGATATCTGTTTAGAAACAATCCACTCTTTCGCTGAGTATTAGAGATGTACTAAAACCTCAGAGAAAATTTGGACATTCACTCTGTTATCTACATTATTTTGAGTTTCTCCTCCCTTTTTTGTGACTTAGTGCATATGTCACGTTATTGGACTGTGAGGGGAGCAGCCGGGTCACTGCTGCACGCATGGGGGGTGTTCGCCCCAAAAGTGGTATAAAGGGGGCCATTTGAGGGGTCAAACAAAAGCTTACTTTCTTCTGATTCTGTATCTGCTCTTCATATATCTGTATAATGTCTGTGTGTAGAGCAAGGAATCTGTAATCTGTATGGAGACTGGGAGTCTCTCTGAATGTGGTTGAGCATTGGGCAGAGCCCGGCCTTTGGACATGCTAATTAGTGAGGCCCTGTGGGACAATAGCGCTCAATGGGCCAAGGACACACCTCGGGAATGGTGACCGACACCTAAGGGCTACCAGCAGGGAACACAGTGACAGGCTGCTGGCCAGATGACCTGCTGCAGCCAAGAGACCAGGGAGGATGTATAAAGATGCCATGTGGCTGACTCCAACTTGGTACTCAGCTCAGCACTTCATCCCAGAGGCAGCAGTGCAGGGATCGAAGAGCTGGAAAGAACTGTGGACCCATCCTGATCCTAGGATGCGCAACAAGGATATTTAAACCAGCAGCTGTAACATCTCTGCTAGAGCCTGCATCGAGAACTGGGAGATTCAATGCATGTAATGTACTATCCTTTAACAACCTTACTCTCATGCTTTTCTTTCTGGTAGCAATAAACCTTTAGATGTTAGATGCTAAAGGATTAGCTCAGTGTGATTTGTGGGTAAGATCCGGAGGGTAAATTGACTTGGGATCTGTAGCTGGTTTCTTGGAACTGGACAGAACTTGTTTGGGGTAAGTGGGATTGGGTTTTAAGACCCCCCCCCCACCTGTGTATGAGGCCCGGGGCCATCTGGGGCACAGACATTGCTGGGGTGTTGGAGGGGTTTTGCTCATGAGGCTTCAGGCAGGCTGTGGGACTGGTTTGTGGCCTGTTTGGAAAGGTCACCAGTCTGGGGGCTGTAAGGAGCCCCGAATTTGAGCAATTTGCCCTGAGCGGACGCCCTCAGCTGTGCCCAGACCAGCCCGGTCTGTCACAGCATAGGCTAAAAGTCCAAAGTTCATTTGCTCCTGTTACTGACTCCTCACTCACTCTCCGTGCAAGGGGAATGATGTCCCAAACTAGATTATGATCTCCCGTAAAGAATGAGCACCATGATGAGAATACCTAAGAAACAAATGATCCTTTCTTCATGCAAGTAGGCTCAGTAACAAAAAACAGCGAGGGCAATGGAACACAGAAGAAATGTTATATTAGCAGAATGATGCATAAAACAAAACACTTTTCAAAGTTCTCCTTAAGGTGACAGAAATTCTAAGATTTACTGTTGATGCAGTTCCCACCGGTTCAACAGAATCTACTAGAAAGACATTACTATCATTTCCCTTCTCAACTGCCGTCTACTTAGTAGCTAAAATTGTTTTATGAAGAAGAGTTTATTCTCACCAGTTGTTCCCTGAACCAGAAACATCTGTGATGAGCTGCTTGCTATCAAATACATCTCTCAATGGCCCCTGCAGTATTTCATTCACTACACCCTCCTCCATGTCAATCAAGAGAGCCTTAGAGAAAGAAAAAATTTAATTCAGTCAGTATGCCACTCTTTGAAAATGTTACACAAAAAGATATGCGAGTACTTGCAAGATAAAAGGTATCTTGTGCCTTTAAAGTTTTAGGCATAAAGATATTATTGAAAAGATGCATTATGACTGAAGCTAATTTTAGAAAAATTCACCTTGATCTTTTTGTCAAAAAACAAAGTTTAATGAAGCATTATTTCAGTGGCTGCAACTTTTGAATACTGTTCAAAATTTGAAGAGTTAAAGGTATAATATGCTAAATATTTAGTAAAAATTGGCATAGCTTTTCAGAGAAGTTTCTTCTTAAAATTTCAGTTTTAGTTTGAGAAGCATGTCTGAAATTGTGCATTTAAGATGAAAGGTAAACACAACATTGAAATTATGAACTCTTTATACTAAGAGTATGCAATGTATCTGAAATTATCTTCTATTGATTGTCTTACTCTTGCTTTTAAAGACAGGATTTTTCCTTTGTAAATATCAGCACCATCACCACCAGTTCTGGAAAAGGGAGAAATTTTTTCATCAGATCAAAATCATCATGGAAGCGATAGAATTTTAATAATATTGTTGTAGAAGCTGTAGAAACCATTTTAATATTTAGCTAGAAGCCATCTTGTATATCAGAAACCATTTCAGCTTTTCTCTCAAGCACGTAGACCAGAGTGAACTTTCTGTCACCCCGTGAGAAGAGGCCTACAGGATGGGCTATTGGTATGTGTTAATTGGGCTGGTTGGGACAGGAGATGTACTCCCTCGCACCTGTCCGCCATCTTGTTGATAAGGCTTTGTTTTTCCAAATTTAATTGAGGATTTCTGTAATTGGATGCCCTGACGTCAGACTGTTTGGTTAAGGGTATAAAGATACTAGGATTGATTGTATTAGTAGCCTTACTGGGTCTGGCTCTGCTGTGACCACGTTTGGCTCATGCTGTGCTTTATTAATTAATAAAGCTGCTTGTTAGCTGCCTAAACACAGAGGAGCGTGTTTTTGCTTCGACATTGTCTTTACTCCTCATTGATCTCTGCTGTCCACGTAGGTCTGACCAAATGTAAAACAAACACACACAACGCAAAACACTCCCCTCAAACAGATATAAAACATTCTTTACTAGCAAAGTCTTCATGGAAAGTCCCTAAGTTTTTACAGGATCCCATCCCACTGTTATCTTAAGAACAAAATCACTTGGAAACAAAGATAATCAATATTAAATATTCACCACCAGAAATATTCCCCTACTCTACATATGCAAGTTTCAGCTTAGTTATTGGCCATAGTTTCAGCATAGTTATTGGCCAGTTTAATCTCATACTTGAATCATGGGGTCAGTTCCATCAGAAGGGGAGTGTCTAGACTACAGGGTTTTTTCGAAAAAAGTGGCCTTTTTTTTTAAAAAAAAAAACCTTCCCCTGCATCTAGACAGCCGCCGCGTTCTTTCGAAATTAGATAGAAAGAACACAGAGGTTTTTTCAACTGCAGTAAACCTCATTTTATGAGGAAGAACGCCTTTTTTCAAAAGTGCTCTTCAAAAAAAAAAAAAAAAAAGTGTTCTTGAATGCAAACAGGGCTTTTCCGAAAGAGAGCATCCAGACTGCCTGGGTGCTCTCTTTCGAAAAAGCATCTTGCTTTTCCGAAAGAAGTGATTGCAGTCTAGACGCTCTCTTTCGAAAGAAGCTTGTAGTCTAGATGTACCCAAGGTGTGGGCAGCGAAAGATCGTTCCAAACCATTTCTCACCTTACCAGTATCGAGAGGCCCCAAGTACATGCGTCCAGATACAACAATATGGATGCCCCCTAGCAGTGTGTTATGTCAGCTTGGGTTCACTAGAGCATACAGTGTTCCAGCTAGGAATGTAAAAATTTGTTAAAAAGGTAACTCTAATTGCTCAAAAAAAACCTTACTAGTTACTACTAGTGTGCTACTTACTTGGCACTGCAGTATAAAGTTTAAATATGTTTTTAGAATGGGTCGCATAAAGCTGGCCGTAGACTACTCAGGAATCCCTAAATATCAGGGAAAACGTATCTATTCCTGAAAATCAGCTTTCTAGCTGCCTCTGAAGTGCAAAGCAGCCAAAAAAATATTGTTACTCCCTCTCCTTATGCCAGGGGTGGGCAAAAGGCCCTTCATGGGCTGGATCTGGCGCGCCTAGCGGATTGATCTGGCCTGCGGAGACCCTGATGCTCTCGTGCCCTCAGGGCCTTGGGGCAGGGAGAAGCACAAATTTTCCTCTGCCCGGCCCCCGCCCTGCAAGGAGCACACAGCACTTAGAAGCACTATATGCTCCTGGCAGGGTAGGAGAAAACTCTGCAGACTCCCCCACCTCCAAACCCTTATTGGCCTGGGGGAGCACGTGATGTCTCCTCCCACTGACGGGCACAGGCATGTAGGGGGAATCTCTGGGGGCAAAGCCTTCATATGCTCCCCCACTTCCAGACCAATCACCATCTGTAGGTGGGGAAGTGAGAAGTATCCTGGTCCCACTCCTTCTGCCTGAGCCCCTGCCCCTTCTGGCACAGCTTGGGGCCACATTGAAGTGGCCCCCTGCAAAAAGTCATTGCCCACCTTACACAAAGGACCCAGCCAAAGATAAGCAAACAACCTCCCTTAGGGTACGTCTAGACTACATGCCTCTGGCGACAGAGGCATGTAGATTAGGCTACCCGACAGAGTAAAATGAAGCGGCGATTTAAATAATCGCCGCTTCATTTAAATTTACATGGCTGCCGCGTTGAGCCGACAAACAGCTGATCAGCTGTTTGTCGGCTCAACGCGGCAGCCATGTAAATTTAAATGAAGCGGCGATTATTTAAATCGCCGCTTCATTTTACTCTGTCGGGTAGCCTAATCTACATGCCTCTGTCGCCAGAGGCATGTAGTCTAGACGTACCCTTAGTGGGTTTACCCAGGGCAGAGGGACATAAATTGAAAAATGTTTATTAAAGATAAAGCTCTCTCCTACTTCTGTCTTCACAGTCTTTGACTTTTTTCACTTGTCTTCACTGCCCTCAACACCAACTATCCCTAATGCACCAACCACCCTCACAAATATTTTCTAAGTTCTCCAAAGAAGCTTTTTAATTTTAATGTGATAAATAAAAAAAGCATACTATGTTTTTGTCTAGAAAAATGCTACACTGCACTACATTAAATTGATCCTGTGATTACTCCCTTACATTCCTATTGTGGACCTGTGTAGTTGACTAGGCTTATCGGGGGAAACAGGAGCCAATGTTGGGGGGAGTTGGTGTAAGAGCCAGTTCTCCCCAGCACCTTCTCCAATGTGCTGCCTGTCCCTGGGGCCCCCCAGGAGCTCTGCATTTAAAATTTAGTAGGAGCCGGGTGGGCAGGCAGCCCATCTCAGTCCCTGCTCATGCCAGTCCAGAAGCAAACCCTGCTGCGACTCTGCAATTTAAAATGCAGGAGCAGCTAGGGGGCAAGTTGCCTGGCTCCTACTGCATTTTAAATTGTAGAGCTGAAGCGGGGTTTGGTTCCACACCCAGCATGAGTGCCAGGACTGAGCCAGCTGCCTACTGACCAATTGAGTATATTGACTACTCAATTAGTTAAATACCCACTTAACATCACTAGTCCACAAAAGTACATAGTTGTCTAAAGTGGCACTATGGCATCTAAGTCCAACATTTAGGTACCAACCAGACCCTCAGGCTCCCTGCTCAGCTGCCACATTGCTTTGTAGGTACTTCAAGTACTTTGTCTCCAAGTTTCCTACATTAAAAACACTATGGCACCAAGTTTTTGCCAGTGAGCATACACATATCCCACATTCTAGGTGCCCATCTCACACCTAAGCCCCACTGGGATCCTCAATCCAGATCCTGCCCTGCTGATATCACCTGGTAGGATTCTTCATAGGAGGCCGAAGTGCACACAAATCATACAGCAGTCCAGTCTTTGGTCCAGTGGTCTGCACACTCACCTGAGCAGTGGAGACCTATTTTCAGTTTCCCCAATGTGAAAAAGAAATTGGGACTTCTTCGTCCGAGCTGAGTCCACTCATCATTGGGCTAGAATCCTGCTCTCTGGCTTAATGCATCAACATTTAGGCTCAATGGAACACCTTCACCCAGAGAGATCTGCCCCAGAATAACCAATAGCCCAATGGGGGTCCCATTGATCTCAACTCTATTCCGCCCTAGCCTCGAGTCCCCCTGCACCAAAACTCCCTCTCAGAGCCTGCCCTCTGAACCCTGCCTGTAGCTCAACTCCGAACCCACTCCCACACTCCAAATCCTTTAGCTCAAGATCAGAGTCTGCACCCCAGTCCTTTGTCCCAACCTCATAGAAGTGAGTAAGGATGGGGGAGGGAGGGAGGATGGAGTGAGCAGGTGCGGGGCCTTGGAGAAGGGGAGGGAAGGAGGCAGGGCAAGGGTATTTGGATTTGAGGTAGATCCTGGATTGCACTTAAATTAAAAAAGTGATCTCATGCTTCAAAAGGTTGAGACCAATGCGATAGGCTAACCAACCAAATGCACAAAATGTGTGAATATCTTAATACTGCCAACATTACTGTTCAGGTGCTGTGTGTTAGAGTGCAAGTTGGATAAAGTGGAGTACTTCTGGGTATACGCTGGAGATTTAAATAAAGCTTATAGGGAGTCCTGGAGAGAGTTATCAACAGAACTGTAGGCAATATAAAAGCATAAAGGAATACAAACATTTCTAGCACCCATGCTTTTAAGGCTGTTACAGACTTTTCTGATACAAACTGAACTGTTAGCAAAAATCTTTTTTCCCCTCCTTTAAATAATTTCCTAGCCTTTTTTAAAGAGCATTGGCATATCTCACTAGGTTACCATTCAGAGTCAATGAGACAAGGAGCTGCAACTACTTGGATGAAACTGGATGGAAAAACTGTGGTCTGAGCTGTTCCTAACTATACTGGGTATGCATGTCTCCTGCCTGAAGAAAGAGAGGCAGTTTTATGACAGTAAATTCTTTGGGTCAAACATTGTATTGCCATCTAAGTTATCAAAAGTAAATACAAAACCAAGCCCTACATGTTTAGCAGCGACAGCATAATCTGTCAGTGGGAGGGAACTTCAGTGAAGGAGCCTGTGTCACAACTCACTTCCCAAAACATTACAGCCTCTTTTGGACTTTTGGAAACTGCATACAGTCAGGAAGAGCTACAGAAGCAGCAGTCCCATTACCTGCATTAGACTTGCAGCTTTGCTTATTGCCCTTCTCCTTTCCTGCCAGTATGAAGCATACATTTAAAGTTTGAGAGGTACCATTACGGGTCACTGGCAAATGTGATGGTTGCCATCTTACCTTCATCCAAGTACTGAATTTATGACCCCTAGAGCAAAAAAGGAGTGTCTTCAAAGTTTGTGCTAAAGAGCCAAGGTCTTTGGCAGGGAAGTTATCAAAGACTCACATATTTTGTGGACTGGAAGAAGGGATGGAGGAAATAGGAAGAATGTGAGAGATACACAATATATAAACATTGACCACAAGCAAATTGCATGACAACTAACATTGACAATTCACACCATAAAGATTTATGAATTTATACATTAAATACAACATCTATTTTAAATTTGTTTTTTTCCCTGTGTGTAAATCACATGCAACCATCCTCCTTCATTAGATCTTGGCAGGGTTTGAATCCCTTGAACTTCAGCTCTCTAGCACAGACCATTATTAGTTGAACTACAGGCTTAATTGCTATCCCCTTTCTAGGTCAGCCACTGAAGGACTGTAAAGATGTTTTCCTAGTGTGTTCCAAAGCCAGAATGTAGGATTAGCCGATTACCAATGTTCTGCTGCTGACTAGTGAATGGTTTTGTGTGTGCCGTATAGTACATAGTGTGTAGAGACAGGATAGCTCAAACTTGTTTAACAACTCTGAAATGCAGTATGGTGCAGTGTGTACGATTGGAGAATGTCAAACAAACAAGGGACCTGTGGCTTCAGTGATCTTGCATAAGGTCTTCTGACTTTTTTTTTTTTTTTTAAAAATAGCCAGGAGTGTGTTCAGCAGCTCCTCACCATCTCCCACATTAGGATTCATGATCTAGTAGTAGTAAGGGTAATGAATTGTATGGGAATTTAAACAGCACTCAGAGGTTAGAATGGAGCTGCTACGTTTCTTTTTCTCCAATTTAGAATCTTCCCCCAAGATACAGGCTTATCTGAAGAGGCACATATGCTCTTCCTATCTGACTGGGTGATGGCATTTGTGATGCAGCAAATTTGTCATAAAATTAAAAGCTGGTGGTTTCACCTTAACGTATTTTCTGTTATGGCTAAAAAGTTATAAGACAGTCTATGGGATAAACACTATGGCTGTGTCTACACTGGGCCACTTATTCTGGAAAAGCAGCCGCTTTTCCGGAATAAGCTGCGAGCTGTCTACACTGGCCGTTTGCTTTTCCGGAAAAGCAATTATGATCTAATATAAAATCGTCATTGTTTTTCCAGAAAAAATATGCTGCTCCCGTTCGGGCAAAAGTCCTTTTCCGGAAAAACTATTCCGGAAAAGGGCCAGTGTAGACAGCACAGTAGTCTTTTCCGCAAAAAAGCCCTGATCGTGAAAATGACCATTGGGTTTTTTTTGTTGTTTTTTTTTTTTAAGGCTACTGAACACAAACTATAAGATTAGGACGGGAAAACAAAGATTTTGAAAACTAAATAAGCCAACTATTTCCGTTTTAAGCATTTCTGGAAAAGGGTGCCAGTGTAGATGTAGCCTATGGGTAATCTAGACGTACCCTATATGTATAACTGGCATTCAAGAAATAAGCATGTGAGGAGCAGCAATGTGGTCACTGGATGGATGGCAGCATGTTTTTCATTTGTCCCCCTTTTACAAACAATCTAAATTTTGACTCATTGAAACAGTACTCAAAATGTATAGTTTGTATTTTGAGTTTTGCCATTTCAATGAATTCTTTACAAAATGAAGATTTAAAGCTATTTGTTAAAACTGAACTTTGTAAAACAACCATAACTATCTTGCAGCTAGTGATTTACCAGTATTAGTCAGAAAGCTGATTAACAATGTTACAGCTAAATACAATATATGGTAAGCACCACCACTGTTCTATCCCTGTAAATTACACAGTATGTGGCTTAGATGCAAATATGTGAGTGAGTAGCAGGGATGTGTGATAGAATAAGTCTTTTTTTCTAAAACTCTAGCTACAAGTCTTAGTGCTCATGCTAGAAAAGTTCAGGTGCATTTTTCAACACCTGCCTAAATGGACTGTGCTTCTTATATGAATTCTTCTTGCAAGATCCCAATCAACACTAACAAACCATAATGATGAAGTCTGCCACTTAAATAGGACTATGTGGCTGAAGCAGAATATGTTTTATTTTAAAAGGAAGATTAACACACAGTCATAACTGACAGCTCCTTTCGAGCAAGAAAAGAGTAAAAAAAGGAGAATATTTTCATAGACTTAGAATAGCAAAGGCTCTATAGATAAAGAAGGAGGACGACAGACACAACATATGGAAGTATAAGATGTTAAGATCTCTTTCTAGGACAACTAGTAGTTTGACCTGGAATACAGATTAAACTGAAGTTTATTCAAGGGAATAGCAGACAGAGATTGCTGAAGGTACCAAAATCAATTACTGTGATACATTTCAAATAGGTTTCTTGATTTAAAAAAAGAAGCTTACCTGGTATCCACATTTCTAAAGAAGCTGCTTAATGCTTCATCATAAATTCCTTTCTAAAAAACAGAAATGTTGCACAAGTTTTAAGTGAGCAATTATAGGGATTCTCTGTGCTATTTCTGGCTAACACTGAACAACAGTATTTAGTTAATATATATACACAGAGCTTTGAAATTATGAGAGTAAACAATTCAGGCAATAAAAAACATTTTAGTCAACATAAGATTTAACAAATATCACAACCAATATTAAATTTTCTTTTATTTTGCATTTCTGAAGATTTTTGTATTTTATGAAAAAAACAATGTATTTATTAGATAGCAACAGAATGAGCTGAACTGTTTTACGTGTTATATTTGTTATGGCAGCATAGCTGGTCCATATCTACTATACAGCTGTCTACTTAAAGAGTAGGCTGAAAATAAAAGCATGTTGCTGTATACAATGCAATACCTGCACAATTGGTGCCAGTACTAGTTGCTTTGAAAGAAAGTAACCAAAAGGACTGTTCATCACAATCTTTAACAACACACTGAAATTTTCATCAAAGAATATCTGTACATTCCTTGCACACTGGACACATTTCCATGGAGGATCCTTAGCATGCTAATTTCAGGGCCCATTTATCTGTTACTCTGTCCTGTGCTCAATATAGAAATGACGATGGGACTTTAGTAAGGATGTAAAATCCCATTTAACCAGTGAACTGATCAATTGGGATCCAGTGAATGGGAGGCCACTCCAGCCCAGCTGGAATAGATGGGCTGCTGCTGGCCTCACAGGACTGATGGATCCACCGGCTCCACGGCTTCCCCAGCCCTGCAGAGTTACTGGTTTTGGTCCAGTAGACCTGTTGAGGCTGGAGCAGCCTTCTGCCTGCACTGAGACACAGGATGCTCCTAGGAACCGGTTACTGGTAAGCAGCACCCAGTAAGGATTATGCTTACTGGGTAACTGGTTAACCATTCACATTCCTAGACTTTAATGCACTTTTACAGTCCCTTGTATTTTGGATCCTGCCAGGGGCCTACTCAGATAAGGTAAAAAAAATACCAGAATTGCTCTGATATACACTCAGGCTTGCAGAAAGTAAATCCAGGTTTCATTTTTGGCTGAGCTGCTGCACCAAAAGACTAGAAGTCCCCTCCCAGTCCCATCTGGCCAGAGCACAGGAGAGGGAGACTAGGGCAACATGCCACCCAAGCCTCATGCTTACTTGGAGAACCATAGTGAGCTGTGTTCACACCCCCTTCATACAGGCCCGCCGCTCATTTGCAGTCCCACCCAAAGCTTTCACTCCTAACTGGAACCCAGGTTGTCTCTAGGTGGGTGTGAGGCCCAAGCCAACCGCCCCCCACTCCATCCCTCTTCCAGGTCCCCCCTCTGCTCTTCCCCGCATACTGTTGTTGCCTGCAGAGATAGGCTTGAACCCTGCTGCTGGCACCAGAAGCCTACTATTCCCGTGGGCCTATCGCTTGGGGGAGGATCTCGACGGAACAGATGGGGGCCCAGTCCACTCCGCAGGCTCCCAGCTGTGCCACTCCACTTTCTGTGCTGCCAGTGAGTGCAAGGGCAGGCCTAACCCCTGCTGCTGGCACTAATGCCAAAGCCCGCCTCAGGCTCCCCAAAGCCTAGGACAGTTGTCCGAACCGGCCTATGGGCCGGGTGGCTCTTGCTGGAACCCTCACTCCCAACCCCAGCTCTGTCCTGCACTGGCGGGGTCCCTCCCACAGGAAGCTTTTTTTCCCCCAG